TGGTGTATGGGTTGTGGTATGGTGTATGGGTTGTGGTGTGGTGTATGGGTTGTGGTGTGGTGTATGGCTTGTGGTATGGTGTATGGGTAGTGGTATTTTACTATTTTGTATGGTGGTTGTGGTATGGTATATCTATCTTTTTATTCAAGGTAAGGCAGCTTACTCATTCTACGTGGCGTGTATATGATCACTAAGTGATACATAGCGTGCACTATTCGAAAGCAGAGCACAAGTAGGGCTATTCTGAAAATAGCACTAATTAACAATGGTGTATATTGGTCTCAACTGTGAATCGATAGCAAGCGAAGGCGTTACTAACCCTATTTCCGTTACAATATTGTTAACGATCAAATCCCTCTCGCAATCATTTGCAAAATATCCGCTCAAACAACTTGTGTTAATTCTAAGCCACATCTGGGAGTCGTATGCTTCTACGTGCTCTCCTAGTGACCTTCCTTCCATTTTTTCTTTCCTTCTTTCATTTTTTATCCCTTTTTATCTTTCCTGTTGACAACGCTATTTCGGCTTTCGGGGAAGCTAAACCGCGAGAAATTGGATAAACTTAAATAGTGCACTAGCCAATTGAAACCCCCGACCCCTGGGGAATCAACACGGCGATACGGGGGAGTTAACCGACAGTGTGAATGCACTGATTAGTAAACGGGGAAGCTAACGTGTACTCCAACAGTTCAACAATTTCAACAATAATTTCAATATTTTTTTAACAGCAAATCCGGGGAGCAGGAGAAAGTTCTAAATGTAACACTAGTAAAGAGTACGAGGCTGACAACACGGTTCGTTGTCACCTTTAACTCACGCCGCAATCATCAAAGAATAGCTCTGTCAAAAAGAAAATTATATATTGGTTACTCTAGAACTCGTTTTCTTTGATATCTAATATTGTATTATCGAACACTCAAACAAGGCCAAAATTCTAGCTCCTTGATAAGGTTCTCATTGAAAGGAAAAAAAGAAAGACATTTGCACGCGTTCGGTTTTCGAAGCTACTTTTGACAAAATGAAGGCAGCGTACTTGGTTCGGTATTTTTCTTAATTGATAATTTAGCCTGATAGTCATCTAAACACAAATACGAAATCAAGAAAATTATACTATGTGTTGATATACAATTTTTGATCCAAGTTGACTTTTGGGGTATTGTCGGAGATAGAAACGAAGATTGCAAATTAAATCTCCGAGATATCTCTCGTTCTTGTCGATGTAAAAGCTTGCCGACAATACAAATAAACTCCTAGATTTCGTGCAAGAATGCACCAAAATTCCTAAGAGTTCATCCTCCTCTTACGCTAAGAAGATTTGGACAAGACTTGGTACAAATATATGTTCTTGATAGGACGTCACGATGTCTGATACTTTTGTAAAAGCCGACAGGCATAAGGTGACAGTTGTCAGAAAAAGTAAATATTGCTTCCGTTGACCAAATCTGATGCTGTATTTTGTCAAACAATGATTTTGTCATTTTCCCAAATCGCATAAAGCGAATCAAGTGTTTGTCAAAAAAAAAAATCGAAAATATTTATTAGTTATTATTAAAAAATACCTTTTATTGAGATGGGAACCCTGTGGTGTGGACGAAAATAAGTTCGGCTCGGCTTTACAAAGTTATCATAGTACATCGGTGAAATAATCCAGAAATCCTTGATTTAAAACTAACCAGTGCAAAACGAAACGATATCTTTCCTAAATACCTAAACACCTATTTAACCTCGTCTAGCTAAGCTTAAGATACATGAATCACGTCTTTCGCTATTTTCTAGACCATAGTTAATAGACTAATCTTTTTCTCTTTGTTTTCTGACACCTTTTTTGACAAAAGTTGACTTTTTTGTAAGGAAAGACAGCTAAAAACTGGCAAATCTGCTACACATTTCTATAAAGTATACTTTTCACACAGGTATTTGCGTGTTGGAAAGACAAATTTAGCATTTATAATTATGGTTGAAAAAGCGTTGGGGTTATCGAGGGGAAAAATCTTGAATCTCGTTACAGATGGCACCAGTGAATGCACGCTTGAAACCAATGTTTTTACTACGGCTTACTAAACAGGCCTAAGATTGCATAGGATTAATGAATAGGCTGCCTTTAGCTCGGTTTAATAGGACTGCGTACTCTTTAACATGTATAAAACAAAAACAAAAGATTATCTAAATTTTAAAACGAACTATAAGCAGCTTAAAATTTGTCTGAGACCTAACCTCATTCTAAGCCATGAAAGACTAGGTTTACATTCTGATATAACTGTCAGTTAAAAAGTAAACTCAAAAATCAATCTAGACCTGGGTATCAGATATAAGAAAAATGACTTACTTTGGATCCATATGCCACACCGTTCTGCTCATCGTCACTATAAGTCGAATTCAAAAAAGTAAAAGAAAACCGCGACGTCTTGTTTACATATATTGAGCACGAATACAAGTCAAAAGTCAAGTGCTCTCAACCGCTGGCCAGCGGTATTCTAGTTCGTGTGTTCATCTATAGTCATGTGCGTAAGGGCAGTTATAGTTTTCTTCTTTATTAAGAGGGTCACAGTTTAAAGTGAAACGCTTATAGGCGTGTGGCCCTCAAAAGGGAAGGTGCGTTGTGTGTGGGTTATTGAGGATGGAAGGGAAGGTGAGGGCCGTTGGGATTTCACAGTTAACTTTTTAAAATGGTCGTAGCACGCACTCCCCCTCTCACTCAGTAAGGAATTCATGACCRTCTTATTTAAAAAAGGAAACAGTAAAGGTTTTGACCTTCGACAATCCTTTACTTGTTGTGAACCTCTCCTCTGAAGCCCCCTCCCCCAATCTTACTCAACCTTAATTTCATTTTCATAAGAGTTTCGTCTTGCAAAATTTACGAAAATGAGAACTAAGCCAAAATAATAACTAAAAAAAACRAAAAAAAAAAAAATCCCAGGAAAATAATAATCATTAACTTTGACCAGACTAAAGCCCTGGCTAAACGAGGAAACAAGCCCCAGAAACATGTTTTCCGCGCACATGTTCCCCGATGATTCCAAGTTTAGCCACATGCGAAACATTGCTACGGGCAACAAATTTTGCTTCCAAGACGCAAAAATGTTTCTGCTGTGCGGCAGGAACATTTTATGCTTCCAAGACGCATGTAAACAATGTTTCCTCGTTTAGCTACCAAACAAATTTCGTTGCGTTACAATGTTTTCCCAATTCAGACCACGTGTCATTCCCAAAACAAAACAAATAAAGAATCTCATTCTTTTGGGAATATTACATAGTCTGACTGAAATGGGAAAACACCGTAACGCAACGAATTAGGTCTATAAAGGCTTTGCACCATCACGTGATGGCAGCCAAGACAGGAGGCACAACAATAGTAGTTCTCCCCTGGAAAACTGATTTCTTTTTTATGTAAATTAGCTAGATTAGACCAGATTTAATAGGCCCTTTGCAACAAACAGTCACGTGCTGATATATCATTTTGATAACGAATCAATTCAGCCAAAGGTCCCTTGCGGAAGGCTTACTGGATGGCAAACAAACTTTAAACTGCTTCGTATCTTTAAATTATAGTATCTTATGAGGGGAAAAAAAGTATTTTTGAAAAGGTTTTGGATAAGACATTAGTAACCCAGCAAAAAAATCTTTAAATAAAGGAAGTCCGAATTTTTTTGCCATCCAGTAACAATCACGTGTCAATCTATTGCAAAAGGTCTGTTGTTCCTGCCTCCTGACATGGCTGCCATCACGTGACGGTGCAAATCTATTGCATCCATTTAACCTATCACAACTTGCAGGGTTTCTGCTTATCCAAACAGAATGTACATATTAAGTTATTTTTAACAATAATAAGAAACCTACCCTAACAGTCATAAGAAACAGTGATATATTCAAACTAAGAGTAACACATGAAAGGTTGAGAAATGAGGTAAAATGCGAGAAACTCCAGTGGCGGATCCAGGACTTTAAGATGAGGGGTTCATTTTTGCAAATCTCGGCACAACAATAACGTTCTCTTGCATCATCATTTTTCCCATGAGGCACATCACTGGCCTAGGGGCGCTCCTGATAAGGATAACCTATCCATGTCTATCTAGTAAAATACTTTTATTTATTTATTCAAAAAAATATAAACAATCCAAGGTACCAGCCAGTGGGGGGGGGGGGGGGGGGGTCTTTTCCCCCAAATGAACCCCCCTAAATCCGCCACAGAACTCACAGCTCTCTTCCTGTGGAGAGAAATAACCAAGGGGGAGGGGGAAAGAAAGGATTTAACCCCGAGGTCAAAGTGGTCATCACTACTGTGGGATTTGTTACTGATGTTTCCATTTACACACTTTCATAAATTTTTTGAACATTTAGAAGTCTAGTTAGATTTAATTACATTTATGGTTAGAGTGCAAACAATATATCCGTGAAACTTTAGTAATACTAAATAGCACAATTTCATGCAAATTGCAATTGTTTTCTATTGTTTAATTAGCACTATTTTGTTCTATTTAGTAATTAGTGTTTCACGGATTAATTGTTTGCACTCTATCATATTCTAAATATATATAAAAACGTTTTTCCCAGACATTTTTTTAAATGATTCTATAGACCAAATTCAAAACTCGCACCGATGTGAGGCTTATGTTGTGAACAAAGGGATCTGGCATGACTCAAAGTAATCTGGCGTGATTCAAAAGTCACGAATCACGCCAGATTCTTTTGTTCACAACTTAAGCCTCACATCGGTGCGAGTTTTGAATTTGGTCTATCTTTTTAATCAATGTCATTTTTTTGTATGACATGCCTGTAAAGTATATTCCTTTATCATCACATTGATAAGAGTAAATAAAGAGTATACACATGTATTGTATTCTTATTTGTATCTTTTATTATAAATTATCTAAAATTTCAACAATAACTAACATCTTTCAAGTATGAATGATTATGATTGTAGTATACCCAATGCCTGATACAATACTTCCAGCATTGATTTTACATCAAGGGCAGATCCAGGAGGGAGGGGAGGGGACAGATTGAATTGAGTGACTTGTCACCCCCCTTTGGAGTTGAAAAATAATAAGAATAAAGGACAAGGTAAGACCTTAAAAGGACGCTATATATTGCCTTTTTAGGTAACATTCACCCCCCTTGAAATTGTGATGGATTTACCACTGTACATGATGTGAATAGTTGAATGGTTAAGTATTTTTTTATTTGAGTATCAGGTCTTTAAGTTACAAAGGTTTATACTTAAAATGTATGATAATTTCTTTCTTATTCTTTTTATCTTATTTATTTTTCATTAAAATTATTTGCTGTGATATCTAACGATTTTACTTTTAAAACAAAATGCAGATGTAGATGTAAATATGTTAATGACTGTGATGTCATAGCAGGCATTCTCGAGTGTAATTTGTTTAACATGTAATACTAAATACTAGCCATTATGAGACAAACTTACAAATTTACAATAAACATTATGGAAACCTTGAGTATGATGATGACGCTTTTTTAGATATAATCTGCTTGCACAAGTTAACATTTCTATATCTAACGAACAACCAGCATGACGTCAAAGTCATTAAAATATTCTAAGTTAAACCATAATAACTTAAACACTCAATTGAAGAAATATATTTCACCATTCAACTATTCATTTCATGCAGAATCAATATTGAAAGTATTTTATCATGCAATGATATCATCAACTTACTATTATGAATCCTGCATTTTCATTGGCTATATTTCTAGAGGTGTATGTGTCATAACCAATCTTAATGCAGTCTCATTAACCAAATTCATGGAAAATAACTTGCAAAAAATATATAAACTATTGCATCTGTTTTGCATTATGACAAGAACCTCTGGAACATAGGGTAGCCAGGTTCTCATAAACGAACAAATTTTCCACTCAAGTGGAAGAGGGAAGGATGGGGGGGGGGTTAGCCACATGCGAAACATTGCTACGGGCAACAAATTTTGCTTCCAAGACGCAAAAATGTTTCTGCTGTGCGGCAGGAACATTTTATGCTTCCAANGGGGGGGGGGTTGGTCAAAAATTGGTAACCTTGCTATTTCGTAAGCCTCACAATTACAAAGCTAAATTTGAAGCAAAGAATCTTATTTCATGATTGACATGTGGTCTGAATTGGTAAAATATTACGCCCAAGGTACTGTAAATAGATCTGTTCAGCTAAGAATGGCAAGAAATTCAGGAAAATTCTTAACCCCCCCCCCCCCCAAACCTAGAGAAATGACAAACAAGCCCTAACCTTTATAAATAATTATGCAAAATTGTAAGTAACATTTTAAAGGAGACCTACGAAACATAGGCTGATGCTGCTTCTACCTCATCCTTGTGTGCTTTACTAACTATATGCGCCTCGTAAGGTTTTGGACCATTCAGCTGCTTGTTGCATAGTTCACAGAAATATTCTGGTTTGTTGTTAGAGGAATCTTTCTCAGGATTGGTGTAAGCTGTAAAAATATTAAAAATAAGTTACAAGTTAAGAGATGGAAAATTTGACAATTGAGGGGGGGGGGTGGGAAGTGGCAGGAATTAATGTTGCACGATATTTATTTTTTTGTAACAACACCTAATGCATTTTATCTTCGAGTTTGCTCAATATTTCTTTTCTGAAAGGAGAGGTTGCACAATATCTTTCATGAGTGAAGTGCTTGCTCAAGATTTTTTTGGGATTTATGCTAACAGCCAATAATCTGAGCCATTGACTGACTGTCCTTTTATTATCATAGATGAGATCTTAAAATGTTCAAAACTCAAGTGGAATCACTAGAACAGCAAGTGGTTTCACTGTAAAGTTTTGAACATTTTAAGATGTTATCTATGATCAAAATATACAAGAGGGCAGTCAATAGAAATCTATGATCAATTATTCCTTTTTTACGATATAGTTAATAAATAAAAAAAGGAAAAAGTTTAAAAGAAAAATGGTCTCAAGTGAGCACTGGTTCTGTGTGTGAGCAAATTGTCATTCTATGTGTCTGTCCTCTTATAGATCATAGCTGTAAGTCAATCAGTGTGCAAGAAATTTGTATCTTATTGTAAAAAGGAAAATAGATTGATTAGAACAGTATACTCAGGGCTTAAAATCATGGCCTATTAATGGACCAATCATGATCATAGGCCAAATTAGTTTTAGCTTAGTCATTCCTCATTTCTGGCTAAATGTTACTGGTCAAAATGACCGACTGCAAAGGCAAAGATTGGACATGACAAGTCCCAGATCTGGTCGGACATTGTCTGATGTCTGGCCATTATTTTAAGCCCAGATACTAGATTTGCTTACCAGAGGAGTATGGTTTGAAAACTGTTTTTTCAGGTGCACCAAAACCAGTTGATCGACTTGCAATTTTTTCTTGTTCTACCTTTTCTTTTTCTGCTTTTCTCTCTTCCAGCCATGGTAGACTTGTGACCTTTTCCTCTAAAATCTAAAAGAGAAAATTCAAGGTAGAAAATGTATGAATGAATGGATGGATGGATG